CAAGGAGCTAGTTATTATCCATCACCAACATGTACTACTCCTAACGGATGTATTAGTACATGTATGACGGTATGATAATTTCAATAATTATTTCATTTCTTTTTTTTTAAATTTTGTTTTATAGACTTATGGTGATTGTACTGCTGGTCAAACTCAAGGTTGTTGTGGAGCATCATGTTCAACATTTGTACCAACATGTACATGTAATTGTGGCCTAGATTTTACAACAACAACTTCAATTCCTTGTCAAAGTGGTCGTACATGTTTAGAAACATGTATGAATTCTTATAGTGCATGTACACAAGACAATACTCAAGCATGTTGTGGTGTTGATTGTATTAACTCATTTCCATCATGTTCTTGTATGTGTGGTTCAAATCAATATACAACATTAGCATTATCTTGCGGTTCACCACAACAATGTGTACAAGCATGTTTACAATCAGTTGCTCAATGTAATGTCGCAAATACTCAAGGTTGTTGTGGAAGTGATTGTACAGGTTATATTCCAACATGTCGTTGTCAATGCGGGTCAAGTATTTATTATACAACATCAATTTGTGTTAATGCTGAACAATGCACAAATACATGTATTAGTCAATTTGGTTTTGCTTGTACACCAACAAATACAATTGGTTGTTGTAATGGAACGATTTGTACAAAACGAAATCGTTTTCTAGGAGTTAATAAAGCTTCAACAACATTTCAATCATCATATATTATTATATTATTATCAATGAGTTATTTTTTAAAATTTATCTAAATTAATTTCACTTCTTTTTTTGTATAGAGCGTTTTTTTCTGTATTAGAGTTTTGTGAATAAATAATAGAAGAATTTTTGCTAACGTGATAGACACAAAAATAAATCTATTTAAGTTTTGTTACATAATAATATGAAATTGATGATAAATTTCCTCTGTAAACAAATTGTATTTGCTAACAAAAGTGTCGTAATTACAAATGAAAACAAATAAAAGTCATATAATATCTTTCTTTTTTATTACGAATAAGATATAAGTAAAAGAGAGTATTGTTTATAAACTTTGTAATAATATGATGAAACAAGAAAATTTAAGTGTTAAAAACATTCTAGATTTATTACAAAATATTATTTAATATTCTGTTGGTATAGATAAGATAACGTTGACGAATTTAGCCCATTTTTACCTACAAATAAACGAAAGACCAGGCAGAATACTTTTTTTTAATAAAACAGTTTACTATATTATATTATTTCAAAGTCATCATTTAATCCCACGGGATAACATATCATCATAGCCGATTAAACAAAATATCAATCAATAATTCATAACTTAGTGACATCTATTTAATCTTTTAATTTGTATTATTTTTGGAATTATAGAACTGAAATAAAACTTTTTATATAGATTAGGTTTTTTTTCAGTGCACTATTCGTATATGAATTTTTACTACATAAAATGATGATTCATCGAGATATGTCAAGTCAGCAGTCAGTCATAAATAGCTTCATACAGATAATTATTTTTACGTGTTTAATTTTATCAAAATGATTCAACTTTCTTCTTATCATTCGAGAAGGTTTTAAAAATTTGAAAAAATTGAACTCAATACTCTTTTTTTTAATTTCGAAATAGAAGAAAACTTATTTTTATTCAACAGTTACCTAAGTTTGAGAAATTTATTCTGATCTATTTAATATAAAAAGTCGTTTTATCATCATTTTTGACCTAATTCGTTTAAAGAACAAATAAAAAAGCAAACCATCTTGCATATTTTTTTTTCTTGTTGAGTATATGTCGCACTTTTCGTTATCTTTTTAGTTATCATATAATAAATAGAGGTTCTTATATACAAGCATTTTATAATAAACACTGATATATCTTCTTTTCAACATTTTAGATACACAATAACGACGAGTTTCTAACATGAAACTGTTAACTCTCTTGTGTGGTAAGTAAAATGAATTTATATAAGTTTTATTAAATGAATTTTGAATATTTTTTTAAAGCATGCGTATTAATCACTACTGGTACTTGGGCTTATTCCCGTGATTGTGCTAAAGGCCCAGAGTATTGGTGTCGAGATGCATCAACAGCCGAAGACTGTGGTGCTGTTCAACATTGTCAACAAACAGTATGGAATAAAAAAGAAAATCCAATAGCAACTAGTGATACAGCTCATATGTTATGTAATGTTCTTGCTCAAGCATCAAGTGAACTTTTAACTGACGGTTCAATAAATGCTAATTCGATTACAGAATATCTTCGTGAAGATTGTAATAAATTACCAGCTGAAAACAATCTTATTCAACAAGTATGCGAAAATTAGATTTAATTCGTATTATAAATAAATATTTTTTGTTTATTAGTGTCAAATGGCTGTTGATCTCTATCTTTCTGATATTCTTCGTCATATTAAAACTGGCACTGTAAGATTTAAAAATTATATTTTCGTTTCTATATTAATTTTATTTATTTTAAAAAGGAAACATCAAAAATCTGTTCCATTATTCAAGGACATGATACATCCAATGTTTTCATTCCAAAACCAAAACCATTGGATCTTACATCGAATACAACATGTGTTTTATGTGAATTTATTGTTCATATTCTTCAAACATTTGCCACTGCTAATGCATCAGCACAAGAACTTTCTCATATTCTTGAATATATCTGTCAAGAAATGCCATCAGTTTTACGTGATGAATGCAAACAATTTATTGAAGCATATGGTCCTGATATGATTGCTATTCTTGTTCGTGAATTTGATCCAGCTAAAACATGTGAACTTATTAAAGTTTGTCCAAAACCTAAAAATGTTGCCTTTTTAATTAAACCAAATGTACAAACATGTGGCCTTTGTGATTATGTTTCGACATATTTATCTTCTGGTTATCCAATTGAAAATGTTTGTAAACACTTCTCAACTGACAATAATATTAAACAACAATGTGAAGTTCTTGTTCATTTGTATAAACCAAATATTTGCCCACAATTACCTATATGTTTTGATGAACCAGTCATAACACCACTTGAACAATCAATTGAAACACCAATCAAATCTGCTGAATGTTCATTGTGCAAATATGTTGTTAGCTACATTGATACTGTTGTTCAAAATAATAAATCAGAAGCAGCCATTGAAGCAGCACTTGAAAAA